ATCGATGTGTATGCGCACACCTAAGGACACCAAAATCCTCATTCTGGTGTTACAGTGATTTACAGTAATGAACTTGCTAATGTGTATCTACAATCCCTGCCCTGTTTTGCCCCTCCACCTGGGCTCTCCTGTGTCTCATAGATCCTAGATTGCTAACAAACAAGGGAGATTCTCCCTCGAATGAAATACCAACCTATGCTTTTGGAGTGGTAGGCTCTAAGGTTTATCCCCCAAAGAGCAGGAACGTTCTGAGCAGCAAAGGAACAATCAAGTATAACGTGCCTGTGAGTTCTTTACAAGAGGTGCGGAGGAGGGAATGCCCTACTTGTCTTACAGGGAAGTGAGGCAAGGTGGGGGAATTCTGTCTTCACTGCTACTTTCCCGCTGGAGAAGTGTTTCCTCATGAATTTTTCAGCTGTAGAGACTTCTGTTCTTCTGTCGCAGCTACTGTTTCATCAGTAGAGAATGAAAAAACCCGCTTCCTTCTGCATCCATCTGTTCTCCCTGGAGCCCTGATTTAGGACAGCACTTAATCTAAACCTGCGCTTGAATCCCATTGAAGTCAGTGAGAGTTAGGCATGTGCTTATGTGTTTTCCTGAATTGGGGCTCTGGGTTGGAGCAATTTTTTGCCTTCACTGAAATAACAGTGCCAAGAACCAGGACTCAAAAGAGTGTCCTTAAAATAATTCACATATTTGAGAGAGTTTGTCTGGGTGTCAGTGCGTGAGTCTGTCTGTCTGTCCGTCTGTCTGTTCGAGAACTCCTAAACAGTAAGAGGTAGGACCACCAAATTCAGTATGCAGCTTCCTCTTATTATAACGTAAACCAAGGGCTGGGTTTGGTTGTGCCAGGAAAACGGGATGTACCTGGAATGAGATTGCTTCTCATAAAACTATACAGAAAATAGATGGATTCACCGTGCAAGTGAAAGGGACTGGCTGGGAAGGGGTGCCTCCTCCTCCCAGGACTGCCCCAGCCCTGAGCCTCCCTTCCCACCCCCCCGGCACCCTTTAGGGAGGGAAGAGGGGGCTGAAGCTGCTCCCCACTCCGATTCTTACAGGAACATTTCTGGCTGTTTCCCCAGGGGACAGCACAGGCTGTTGCATTCCTCACTCTGGCTGGGGCGTGCTGGGGGCAGATGAACCTGGACCTGCCTCATCCGGAGGACATGCACCCCTCCCCCAGCTGTACCTGCAGCAGCCATTGAGGTGCTTCTCACCTGGCCTCAAGCTGCTGCACTGAGAGAGGGCTGAGGTGGTCCTCTCTCCCCTAGGCTGCTTGCATCCTGAACCCCTCCGGCCCAGCCCCCCCATTGTATTTTCCGAAAAACAAAAATAAATTGAGTTAAGGACCTGAGCCACGTCGGGTAAATCTTCCAGTCTAGTTTTATATACACAGGAAACAAAATGGCTGAGTGGCCAGAGATTGGACAGGGACTCCAGTTATCTAGATTCTATTTCTGGCTCTGCCATTGACCTCTGTTTGATGTGGGGCAAGAAATTTCAGCTCTTCGTGCCTCTGTTTCCCCCTGTGTAAAATGGGAGCAATGATACTGATCTCCTTTGAAGCTAGTGTGATTTTGGCAAATCCCCCACACTCCACAAGCTGGAGTTCCTGTGTCATGATCTGGTTCTACCCAAGCCCTAATATCAGAGTAGGAGTCAAAATGCCTTTATTAATGTGCGGTCTCCCTGCTTGCCTCGCTCGCCCACCCAAGCCTCACTGCTTCCCACGTAAGACTGTTGTGCATAGGGAGAGCAGGATTGTGCCTCCCATTTTGATGTTCTCCTGTCATAAACATCACAGCTAGCCATTTTGTCCCCAGGGTTTCATTCAGCAAAATTCTTGGCACGTCACAGTTGGATGTATGAATAGGGATTGTTTTACAGTTCTGCTTAGGGGTTTACCATTCTTCCCTAGCCACAGGCGGCACAGTGAGATATCTTTATGGGACAGAACTTTGCTATCATAGAAATGTAGAGTTGAAGGGGCTTTCAGAGGCTTTCAGTGCCCACCCCTGCACTGAGGTAGGACCAATACACCTACACCATCTCTGACATGGTTCTTAGACACCTCCAGTGATGGGAATTCCACAGCCTTCCTTACAAGGCTCTTCCAGGTTAGCTGTCCTTATAGTTTTTCCTAATAGCTAATCTAAATCTCTCTGGCTGTAGATTAAGCCTGTTACTTTTTGTCCTGCCGTCAGTGGATTTGGAGAACAATTGACCATGGTCCTCTTTATAACAGCCATTAACATATTTGAATGTTATCAGATTGCCCCCTCAGTCTTCATCTTTCCTTATATCCCTGGTGGTTTTAAACCTTTGTTGTGCTCATCTGGACTCCCTCCAGTTTATTCACTGCTGAGTGGGGGATTACCTCCTATGTCTGATATACGACACTCCTGTTAATATGCCCCAGAAAGATCTTAGCCTTTTTTGCAAGTTCATTGCATTAACAACACATATTCAGTTTGGGATCCACTATAATCTTTTCACCAATACTACCCGCTGACCACTTATTCCCCTTTGTGTAGTTGTGCATTTGCATTAGTGTCTACCTCAGAGACTAATTATCACCTGTAATACCATTAACTCACAAACATCCCACTCTCCCTACCTTTAATATCAGCAATTCACAGACACTTACCTTCCTTCCTCCCCTTCCCACCCCCCCCGCATCCCCCTTCTGTTCTGCAATGTGATTTGTCCTTTTCATATTTGTTAATTTTTTTTAATTGTATCCTTTGGTATATATGGTTGTGACTACTTTCTTCCACTATTTGATCTGAGGAAGTGGGTCTGGCCCACGAAAGCTCATCATCTAATAAACCATCTTGTTAGTCTTTAAAGTGCTACATTGTCCTGCATTTTGCTTCAACTACCCCAGACTAACACGGCTACATTTCTATCACTACCTCAGAGAAGTACTTTGCACTTATATATTTGCACTTATATATTTAAAAGGCAGAGCCGCAGCGGGGTTAGCTCCTGGAACCCTGATTGTAAGGTTTTCTGCACGCGCTCAGTATTTCTTAATGCAGCAGTGCTGAGAAATCTCAGCTGAGTTCAAGGCCTAGCAGCGCTAAATCCTCTACAAACATAGACTAGAGACAGGCCTTCCGGCTAAGAGCCTGCCTCCAGACCAGACAAAAGGAAGTATCGCTGTATTCATTTTGCAGATGGGAAGTGGAGATAGCGATTCACCCGTGACACAGGAACTCCATGACAGAGCTGAGCTCCTGAGAGCCACACCAGAGCTGCCTTCCTCTCTTAGTTGTGGGGTTTCTTGCAATGAATAAAATGAATAGCAGCTTAATCTAATATTTAAGGTCCTAAGACCCTGCCTCCATGAGGGGCTGTGCACCATCTGCTAAGCACCAAGCACCACAACTCCAGTTGCCTGGTCCCATTAGGTATTTTGGGCCATTCATTTTTAAGCCAAAAATCCCAGCGGCAGGGAATGGAGATAAGTCTGCCTAGAAATGAAAGTCCGAGTAGGAAGCTAGTGCACATTATTTAGACAGTAAAGGGTCAAATCCTGCTCAATTTACTCATTCCAGGAGCTGTGTACATTTCAGCGGCACTATGTGCATGCATATGGGTGCAAGATGTAACCCCAGATATTTCATACCTTACCATAAGGGTCATGATTTCCACCACTGAAGGTTACTTACACACATCCCCGCCCCATTTCTCTGCCCTGTGTAATCCCAGGCCCCTCGTTAAATGGAGACGCAGAGAGAGACCACTTGTTAATAATGCTGTTTTGATAAATGAAAAGTTCACTGTTGGCAGCAGTTTCCCCTTCTTTGGCTGGGAACATAGGGAGGGTGTTGACACACAATATACTTTCACAGATGTCAGAATGGGCTTCTTCGAGCAGGCCAACGTACACAACTGTTGGCTTTCTGTTTTGAAATTGCAGATGTGGGCGATATTTATCGATGAAATATTTTCCATTTGGAAACCTTGCTGCCATCCCCCGTATGTGCAGCACATGAAAAACAAACACGCGCGCGCACGCACACACACACACACACACACACAATCTAGATCTCGGCACTCTTCAGGTCTAGCTCATTTTTCTTTGCCACGTTCTCTGATTGTAGTCTAAATGAGTGTCAAAAGTTTGACAGGGTGCTCAGTTTATGGGATCTGTGGGCTCTTGGCCCTACTGAAAAGAAATAACAGGACCCTTTTATTTAGAGTTATAAATATGGATTTTTGTGTTGAATGATAAGAGACCCATAATTGAACATCCTTGCCATGGTATCTGCAAATAGCAAATACCGGAATACTACCCGAGATGCTCAATTCGCTTTACAGACCATCCATAGCATGTTAAAGTACAGTGCATGCTGTAAACATTTATCATGGATCTATTGAGTATCTGTCAATTGGAAAAAAAACCCAACAACTATCCAATTTGTCCTGATTTTAGACACACACTTACAGTTCCTGCCCATTGCCTTGCTAGAGATAGGCCTCTTACAAAAATAACTTTTATTTATCCTGGTCTCCAGGACTGAGGCTGTGTTATTCTGGGAGAATGTTTGAGCATACACATTTTCATGCAGCCTTTACTCTCGTCTTGCTCTGTTGTTCGTTTACTTACTTATATGGAACTGAAACAAAGTACAATTAAAGAGAAGTGAGTCCAGCAGTTTGCTGAAGACTTGTGTCCAGGAGAGAGAAAGTTGGAAGCATGTGAAGAATTTGTTCTGTTTAGACATCGCCAAATGAGTCAACCCAGCCTCATCAGTTAAATTAGGAAAGTCAAACAGAGCTGAGCCTGTAGTTGAGGACAGTAACCTTGGAAGTCTCTGGGCCAAATGTTCTGGTGTAAAATTTGTCTGGTGTAGGTCACTCAGAAAGGGACTCTGCAAGGCAGAGTACAGTAACTTGCATCCGTTTAACGTTCAGTGGTTGCTAAAGCCCACCCCTCGGGGGAGGAGCGACAAATGCAGAAAGAAAGGCAACTACAAAGATGCAGCTACTGTTTCAGGTTATGTCTTTCTATTTCCAACACTACCAGGCTCCAATACAGCCCAGGCTCCATCCATTTAGGGCTGCTGCCAGAGCAGCCTCTGTCCACGGAGGAACCAGGCTCACTGCAGACAGAGACAGCTCCGTGGGATGCAGAGCAGCCTCTGTCCGCGGGGAGTTCAGACCCTCCCACGGACAGGGGCTGCTGCCACCCGTGCTGCTGCCTCTGTATCAGAGGCAGCAGCATGGGGCGGCAGGCAGCCAGTCTGCACAGGGAGCTGGTTTTTAAACTGGCTCCCTTTGTGAACCAGCTCCTTCCTGGCACCCCACGCTGCTGTCTCCGATACAGAGGCAGACGTGTCGGGTGCCAGGGGGCTCCCTGGGAATGGGGCCGGAGTGCACTGGCTGCCGGCCCCGCCCCTGGGGGCTATAGAAATAGTTGAGTAACCAATTAGAATTCATGCGGTTACTCGACGATTCAGTTACCCGATATCTAACATCCCTTGTTTTGAGCAGGCAGCCAGGCTAGGAGCTGCACCTCTCCATGATAAACCTCTTCCCAGGTGGCCTGTGCCTGCTCAGTGTCATTCTCTGCACGTCTTTCATATTCAGACTGGGAACAACTATCCCTTGACCTGCAAACACGCAGAGAAGCAACTCTGTTTGCTGTTCCTAGGTTCCACTTTAAAGTCTGGTGCCAGGAGCAAGACTAGATTATAGACCCATTTTGGGGGTCAGACTTAGGCTCTAAATCTCCCAGGATGACTCTTGTTTCTCCTCTTACCCTATTTTCAAAATGCAGGCATTGCAAAGTGCTTTTCTCATAAAAAATGGCTGGTCTTTATGTCTCTCTCAAAGGGCATGTCTTTGACAAATGCAACGCAGCTTAACACTCCAGCCTCTGATCTCTGCAGAGCCACAGGGTGTGTGGATTTTCATCAAGAAAACATATCCCAGGCAGCCCATCCTCTTCCTTCTGCCGGAGGTAGTCAGCCTTTAACTTTGATTTAAAACAGAGTTGTCAGGAACTCCGCTTCCCTGTGCTAAGAATGCTTAGGTACAGAGCCAGAAGGTGGTAACCATCTTCATAAGAACAGCCACAGTGGGTCAAACTAAAGGTCCATCTAGCCAAGTGTCTAGTGTTCCAGCATTGGCCAATGCCAGGTGCACCAGAGAGAATGAACCAAATAGAGAACCATCAAGTGATTCCCTCCCCTGTCACCCATTCCCAGCTTCTGACAAACAGAGGCTAGGGAAACTAGTCCTTCCCATTCTGGCTAATAGTCATTGATGGACCTAACCTCCATGAATTTATCTAGTTCTTTTTTGAACCCTGTTAAAGTCTTGACCTTCACAGCATCCTCTGGCAAGGAGTTCCATGGGTTAACTGTGTGTTGTGCGGAGAAAAAAAATACTTCCTTTTGTTGGTTTTAAACCTGCTGCCTATTCATTTCCTTTGATGACCCCTAATTCTTGTGTTATGAGGAGAGGTAAATAGCACTTCGTTATTTTTTTTCTCCACACCTGTCATGATTTTATAGACCTCATCCCCCATTCTTAGTCGTTTCGTTTAGTTGCACTGCTCCCACCCCCAGCACAATCTCGCAGCTCCCATTGGCCAGAAAGGAAGTGTGTGACGTCTCCCACCCCCCCTTCCCAGGGTAATGTGGCACAGAGATGCACATGGACACAGCAGCTGGCTGCTTCGAGTGGTGGGGGGGCACAGCAGGCAGGGAGCCTGCCTGAGGGTCCTGCTGAGCTGCTGGCCGGGAGCTGCTCATGTAAGCATCTCCCAGCCAGAGCCTGCACCTGGCAGCCCACCCTCTCCCTCTCCCAATGTCAGTGCCCTTGATCACAACCCAAACCCTCCATCATGCACTCCTGCCCCTGGTCATAGCTCCCTCCCTGACCCTGCATCTCTTCCTACACACCTCCCCAGGCCAGAATCATTTCCTTCACCAGTGCTCCCTCCTGTACCCCACTTCTCTGCTCCAAACTCTCTTCTGCAGCCTACCTCCATCACAGACCCTGAACCACCTTCATTATCGTAGAAGAGTGTGGCCCGTGACCACTTACCAAATTCTTCAAATAACTCCCCCACCCCTCAATAATTATTGTCCACCCCGATTTAGAGCCTTTGGTGAGGGACCTAATCAAAGGCTTTCTGAAAATCTAAGTACACGAGAGCCACTGGATCCCCTTTGTCCTCAGGCGTGTTGACCGCCCCCTCTAAGAATTCTAGTAGATTAGTGAGGCAAGATTTCCCTTTACAAAAACAATGTCCACTCTTCCCCCACAAATTATGTTCATTTTTGTGTCTGACAGTTATGTTCTTTACTATAATTTCTATCAGTTTTCCCGGTACTAACGTCAGGTTTACAGGCCTGTAATTGCCAGGATCACCTGTGGAGCCCTTTTTAAAAAATTGGCATCACATTAGCTACCTCCCGTCATTTGATACCGAAGCTGATTTACATGATTATAGGCTACAGCTAGCCGTTCTGTAATTTCACAGAACCCTGCTCACGGCCCAGGTGATATTTATTCCTGTTTGGTTTCAGTTTGTTCCAAAACCTTCTCTATTGACACTTCAATCTGGGAAAGTTCCTCAGATTTGTCGCCTAAAAAGAATGGCTTAGGTTTGGGAATCTCCTGCATGTCCTCAGCCATGAAGACCAATGCAGAGAATGGTCATTTAGTTTCTCCATAATGGTCTTACCATCCTTAAGCACTCTTGATTGTCCATTGGCCCTGCTGGTTGTTGAACAGCTTCTGATGCACTCATCATAAAGAGTTACCAGGGAGACTTTACTTGTGCGGGGACCATTAAGTCCACAGTGCCTGTGAAAATACGTAACACCTACGCAGCATTGTGCCTGTTAAAGCCAATAGATAACCTTCAGCTACTCGGGGCATAAGGTACCTGTGTTATCTGGTGAGAAAAGAGTCAGTTCCCCGCACATGGCTGTTTGTGTTAAGTAAGGAAGGTTGGTCCAGGCATCGACTTATGAGTGGATGGAAGGCTAGTATAAATGGCTGAAACTCTGCCTTCCAAATCCATGTGCTTCTACAAGAAGGCCTATGACCTGACGAAGAGACCAAGGGCCATAAGAAGTATCATCTGTGTTAGTAGTGAGGATTCATGGTATTTTGGGATGAGCAGAATTATTGCAAATTCTTTAAAATACTTGCTACTTTTATGCAAGGATCTCAAAATGCTTTACAGATATTAGGGTGAAATTTACTGCATGTAGAGGGCCAGTCCAAGGCCTGTACATCACTCAACTTCCCAGAATAGGGTTCAGATGGGGCCAAGACTTTTTATGTGGGTCTCTGGTCACCAGTTCATGAATTTAGCCTTAATCCCCCTGGGTGTGTCTAGACTACAGACTTTTGTCGACAAAACTATACTTGCGTCTACACTGCTGCTGAGTTCTGTTGACAACATTGACAGAACTCAGCAGTTTTGTCAACGGCTGTAAACCTCATTCTATGAGGAATAATGCCTTTTGTCGACAGAGTTCTGTTGACAGAAGGTGTTATTGCAGCTACACTGTCCTTTGCGTCTACACTGTCATGTTGACAAAGCGGCCTGCTTTCTCGACAGAACTGGATGCAGTCTAGACACTCTTTGTCGACAGAAGCTTTGTTGGCAGTATCTGTCGACAAATTTCTGTCTACAAAAGCCTGTAGTCTAGACATACCCCCTGTGACCACATGGGTTTTAAGGCCAAAAGGGTCTGTTGTAGTTATCTAATCTGCCCTCCTCTGAACAAGACTGCGGCAGGACCCTGTCTGACCCAGTCCAGTGTGCTACCCACAGGAGTACAAAGCTGGCTCTGACAGTACGACCCCCATTTTACAAATTAGGGACCCCTAGCACAAAGCACGACTTGTCCCATATTACACAGCAAGTCTCTGGCAGACCTAGGAAGAAAACACAGGTCTCCTCCCTCCCAGTCTCTTACTGGAGCCTCATGGGCATCCTTTCGTAATCGCCCAACCCACCTGCGACAGGGTGGAGGGGAGGGGACTAGAATTGCTGTAGGTACCTGTGACTTTGAGTCAGCATTAAATGGTGCAACCCACAGTTACATACCAGAGAGCCACCTCCACTTCTCCTTAGCAATGCACAGTCCACTGAGCCTTCTCTCAGCCCTGCCACACAATCACAGACTGACACCAACACTTCGTCACGCTCACTCTCGGAGCCATGGGGCTTTGTTAGAGACCCAGAAACGAGGCCCATCAAGCGGCAGTAGAGAGGGAAGCTTGAAAGCAGGGGATCCTTTCCCTGAAGAGCGTGTCCAGAGTTCTCTGTGCTCCCGGGGTAAGCTGCCAGGCCTTCGCCAGGCAGCCCAACAGCTGAGCTGTGCACAAGGAAATCTTTCTCTCAGGCTTTTCTAATCGCGGAGCTTAAGAGCAAAACTGTTTCCAAACAAAGAGGCTTTTAAGCATGCACAAAAATAGGCCCTTTTGGGCTGAAACAAAACCTGCCTGGCACTGCGTTTTGGAGACTTGTGCTCCGTGAGGTTCCCTGGTTAGCCTGACCTCTGGGCCTCCCGGACAGAGAGCTGTTTGTAAAAAGCTCGGGCCTTTACCTCTCAGTCGAGCTATGCGGGAGCAGCTCAACCTCATCACCGCATCTTTTGCAATGGTTTGCAGGTGGGACGCAGGGCATTCTGGGAAGGAGTAATTCCCTGTTTGCTAGGTGGAAGTTACGGGGCTTGGGCTGGTTACGTTCATCTTCGTGGCTTTGGTTAATGATGTACAAGCTTTTAAAGGGGGGGGGGCGAATTAGAAACCAAGGCTGGTGACATCCCATCCCTCATAATGAAGGGCTGCTACAGAGAGGAAGGGGTGATGGCCAAGTAGCTAAAGCTCAGGAGAGGGAAGGAGGAGGACTCGCTTGACGGCCTCTCAGCCTTTTTTATGACAATGAATGTTTCAGCCCTGGTGATCTGCCTAGAACAAGGCTGGGTAATAAGCCAGTGACGGTTCACCAGGGTTCGCCCCTTTATTTACCTGTGCATCCGCAGGTACAGCTCCCATTGGCCACGGATTGCCATTCACAACCAAAGGGGGCTTCAGGAAACAGCATGGACTGTGACACCATTTTCCGCAGCTCTCATTGGCCATGAACAGTGAGCCACATCTAACAGGATCTAAGAACAGCCACACTGAGTCAGACCAAAGGTCCGTTTAGCCCAGTGTCCTGTCTTCCGACAGTGGCCAATGCCAGATGCCCTAGACGGAGCAAAAAGAACAGGTCATCAACAAGTGATCCCTCTCCTGTCATCCATTTCCAGCCTCTGACAAACAGAGGCTGAGAACACCATTCCTACCCATCCTAGCTAATAAGTATTGATGGACCTATCCTGCATGAATTTATCTAGTTCTTTTTTGAACCCTTTTTAAAGTCTTGGTCTTTACAACATCCTCGGGCAAGGAGTTCCACAGGTTGACTTTGCGTTGTGTGAAGAAAACTTCCTTTTGTTTGTTTGTTTGTTTGTTTTAAACCTGTTCCTGCAGATGCACAGGTAAATAAAATGCTGGCATCCCACCACGAGCTAACCCTGGCGAACCATACTGTGATTCATCCGCTGCTTATTGTCTACCCCTAGCCTGGAGAGAGTTTGCCTGTTTGATAGTTACCTAAATAAAAAGGATCTGATTTTCAGAGGATGCCAAGAACCCATCTTTCCTTTTAACCTCTGTGCAGGTGGTGGGTAGTCAGAACATCAACCCCCTTTTAGGTGCCTCTGTAAGCATAGGTGGAATCAGTAACTCTGTGCGTTAAGGACGCCCAACACTTCTTCACATTATTAGAGAGGGAAAGATGCAGCATTGTTATCCCACTCCAAAAGGCAAACTCTGGGGGGATTTAGAGACTCTAACTTGGAGTCACACACACCACTCCAAGCTTTCCAGGCCAGTATCCGCTTTAGGCTGAATTTGCTTTAGGCATGCTTAAATTGCAGCAAGGGAGGTTTAGGTTCAACATTAGGAAAAACTTCCTACCTGTCAGGGTGGTTAAACACTGGAATAAATTGCCCAGGGGGAGTTGTGGTATCTCCGTCATTGGAAATTTTAAAGGATTGATTTAAACCTGTTCCTGCAGATGCACAGGTAAATAAAATGCTGGCATCCCACCACGAGCTAACCCTGGCGAACCATACTGTGATTCATCCGCTGCTTATTGTCTACCCCTAGCCTGGAGAGAGTTTGCCTGTTTGATAGTTACCTAAATAAAAAGGATCTGATTTTCAGAGGATGCCAAGAACCCATCTTTCCTTTTAACCTCTGTGCAGGTGGTGGGTAGTCAGAACATCAACCCCCTTTTAGGTGCCTCTGTAAGCATAGGTGGAATCAGTAACTCTGTGCGTTAAGGACGCCCAACACTTCTTCACATTATTAGAGAGGGAAAGATGCAGCATTGTTATCCCACTCCAAAAGGCAAACTCTGGGGGGATTTAGAGACTCTAACTTGGAGTCACACACACCACTCCAAGCTTTCCAGGCCAGTATCCGCTTTAGGCTGAATTTGCTTTAGGCATGCTTAAATTGCAGCAAGGGAGGTTTAGGTTCAACATTAGGAAAAACTTCCTACCTGTCAGGGTGGTTAAACACTGGAATAAATTGCCCAGGGGGAGTTGTGGTATCTCCGTCATTGGAAATTTTAAAGGATTGAGTTAGGCAAACACCTGTCAGGGATGATCTTGATGGTGCTTGGTCCTTCCATGAAGGCAGGGGACTGGACTTGATGGCTTCTCCAGCAGTGTTCCCTCCTAAGCTCTGCAGGGAGCAGGCTGACTGGGCGGTGCTGATTAATCACCTGTGAAACTATTCTGCTGTGCAGCTTAGAGGGAACCCAGTTCTCGAGGTCCCTTCCTGTCCTATGATTTTATCATTTTTCAGCCAAAACAGTTCAACCATTGCCAAGAACGAGGCTAGGGAAAAATACCGGGGGTTGCCCTGATTAAAATTCTGTTAACCTGTCCTTTTAGAAACTTTGCACCTCTAGGCTTTGCAACAGGGAGCTATGAAGTCAGGGCACTTAGGTTCTGTTCCCAGCTCTGCTGTGTTAGATGAAGTCACTTAAGCTCTCTTTGCCTCAGTTTCCCTCTCTGTATGCTTGAGGAAACTTATTTCATAAGCTAACGGGATCTCTGTCAGGAAGCTTTTTCAGATACGTAGCCTAATTTTTTCCTTGCTTATCTTCCCCCCATTGCTCCTAACAGAAATAAAAACCCCACAGTGGAGAATGTCCATTAGGTCATTTCATTGTAGCCCAATTGGGAAACCTGAGTAATTCCTCCACAAACAGACAACTGTGTCATCATTTTAGTTACATTCCAACATCTGGATGCATGAGAGGATGTTTCATATGCCAATGGCAAAGGCCAATTTTTGAACAAATGCACTGTTTTAGAACAGGCCTTAGGAGAATTTCCATGCCATATACTTTTAGCTGTTGCCAAGAATTGTCCCCATCGGGTTCATACTCATCATAATGTTTAATGAGGAAAGATATTTCTCATGCAGAGATCACAAAATACTGATCTTTCTGGCATGGACATTATCAGGAGTCCATCCAGTTAAGCACAGAGTTCAGACCGTTGCTTATCCGTTCACTAGAGACATTACATCCCGCCTATGATTTCCTTCAAGAAGTGCTGTCGGGGGTTTGTCAAGGCAGAACACCGGGAATTCCTAGGAAAAGTCAGAGCTGGATGGGAAACTGGCACCCTCACTGCAGGCAATTTCAATTACAAGTTTTAATTAAAATTTTCAGAGGAAATCAAAAAGTGAAATATTCAAATGCGGCCATGGTCCAACATGGGAGTTGTAGTTTATATGCCTTGTGCACTCATTCTTCTCTATAGACTGGGCTCCCAGCTCCAACTACATCTCCCATGAGGCATCATAGCCTCAGCTTGTGTCAAGCAGAACAGCTGCATCATGGGAGTCCTTGGGCCTCATGCACAGTCGGAGAGAGAGTCTGTGTGTGGCTCTCCTCCTCTCCTCTAGGCTTCAGCACAGCCTTTCTCTGGCCATAGCAGTGCATCATATCTATACCTGGTACTACAGTTTCAGGGCTTCTGAGCCCCTTCTCTGTCACAGTGAGAAGGAGGGAAAATTATGGCAGGTGGATCCATGTGGCTCTACCATTTTATCCTTTTGAACCGTCATATCCTGTGCCTCTGGAGAACTCCCCACCGCCCTGTAGGCCTGTCTGTCCACTGGAAAGCCAAAGCATGCATATCCCTGTGCACAGTCCCACAACCCTGCCCCAGTCCTATGCAACTGCAACATACAAGAGCAGGCAGAGTTTGTTCCTCACAGATTTCACAATGATTTCTGCCTGCAGCACTGGGGGAAATTGGAGATACAGCATCTTATTGCACCTGAAAACACCACCACATGGGTTGGTCATTTGGGCAAGTCCCTTACGCGCAGTCCATCCATTCCCAAAGTAAAGAGGCATCTGTTGCTCCAGAAACTTTTCATCATTCATTGTGAGAGGAAGAAACTGTCACTTGCTTTATTAATTGAATTGCTGGTTGCAAAAATAAAAACTATAGCAACAAACTGTCTCGCATAACAAAGCTTGGTTCATTGCAGCTGGGGAGTGAAGTGCAGAGCCAAAGGGCAAAGGAATGTCTAGTTTAAACATGGGCTCAGCTAGAGATGAAGTTTAGAACGCTAATGACGTATAGGCTACTTGTCTGTCCTTGGCAAGCAACACTAAGATGAAAGCATCTCTCTACCCTTGCAGGTCCATGATATCAAATTTCTGGCTCAGAGTTTGGAAGAGAAAGAGTCATGGATGAAAGCCCTGAATGAAGGGATCGGCAGAGGCAAAAATAAGATACTTGATGAGGTAAGAAAAGTGGGTTTCAAGTTGTATGCGTTTGTATGTCAGTCCTTGTTTACTACCACCTAGAGTGACACTGAGATCCCCTGCTTCCCACACCCCCAGGCTTTGAGAGCATTCCAGGTCCAGGTCCAAGGTGTGCATCTGGAGTCCAGTACTGCTGTTGGGAGGTTCATATTATAGCAATACTCTTGATCTGGTGGCTGTGTGTAATGTGTTTTCCTTCCTTCCTTCCCTCCTACCCATCTACCTACCTACCGACCGACGTAAATACTACACAAAGGTCAAAGCAAAAAAAGAAAACTCTTGTGGCCAGATTCAGAGGTGGTGTAAGGAGGAGTGAGTTACACACCTGTTACCCGCACAGATTTCTCTATCCCTTCCGCAGTGTAGGGATACACATCTTTACCCAGTTCCTAGGGCTCAAGGTGCGACCCTGTTAATTTAAACACCCATCCTCACCGAATTCCTAAGGCTCAGGGTGCATCTTCCTGCGGGTTTAGCAGGATCTTTAGCCACTGAAAGAGCTGGCACAGTAATATCCTTATCCTCTATTTACTGACAATTCCCAAATAAGCAGAATACACATGCTAAGCACACAGTGTCAGGCTCACCAATCCTGCTACAGGCAGACTTCCCCTGTTGGCCAGGCAATATCAGTCTCTCTGGTCTTAGGCTGTCTCTCAGAAGTAAGTTCTTCCTTTCCAGGTCTTCTTCCTTCTTGGTGTTCCTGGTCTTCCAGCCTTTTGCTTCTTTCCTTCTGCTTCTGTTACTTCCGATCTTCTTCCTCCCTGTCTCTTTCTTGGACCCCAGTTTATATAATGAAACCTGAGTCTTGCTTAGTTATACCTTAACCAATTATTTTAGTATAATTTTACTAACCAATCATAACAGAATTACCTAACTAATCCTACCCCACCACCTTAATTGATTTACACCTAGCAAAATTAATGATAAAGCAGACAGAAACAGTTACAAACCAGACAGAGATCACACAGTCGAACAATAGGAAAGTGTAATGACAATGATCATAGGATGAGGATTCTATTGATATGCAGTTTCTTGCCAGGCAGAATGGTGTGACTTCAGTTTTATTTACCCATCTTGAGATCTGTTTCTTTATCTGGTGACAGTAGGGGAGCTATCAGGACAAAGCCCCCTCCTCACAGCCTGGTGTGACACTTTTTAATACTGTTTAGATGGATGTGAGTATGTCTCTCCAGGCCTTACAGCTAATGGCTGCTGCTCTTCAGTCTGGCTGCAGAAGGCGGCTTTGGTTCAGGCCTAGCACAAGCTTTCCAACATGGCTACAGAAAAGCAGTTACACCACTTATGATGCAAGGCTAAGGGTGTGTCTACACTGCACTGTTATTTCGGAATAACTAGCTTTATTCCGAAATAACAATGTGAGCATCTACACAGCAATTCCTTTATTTTGAAATCACATCGAAATAATGGACGGCTTATTCCGACTTCTGTAAACCTCATTCCATGAGGAATAACTTCTCTTCCGAAATAGCTATTTTGAAATAGCTGTAGTGTGGATGCTCCACTGGTGCTATTTCGAAATCGCTCCTATCCCATGGCCATTCTGAGTAATTTCTCCCCAATGATTCCTGGGGCTCTAACTCAAGGTAGCACGTCCACATTAAGGGAGCCTGCCTTGGACTAATTTTGAGGCTTCCCTGTAGTGTAGAATATATCTTCCGGAATAGCTTATTCTGAAATAAGCGTGCAGTGTAGACATACCCTTAGTCACAGCAGCTTGCATTCTGGAGCCAGAACATCTAAGAAGTTAAAGAAGCCGCTGGTTCACACCTTCTCGGGTCCTGCTGCCAGTTGCTTTTCTCCTCTGGGGCTGTGTATGGAGAGTGATAGGGGTATGTTATGTTGTGAAATGGGAAAGACTGTGATTTGGCATCATGTGCATGCAGAAGGGCCCAGAGGTGGTGTGTGTGACTCCTAAGTTAGAGTCTCATTGGCCTCCACCAGAGTTTGCCCCTTGAGGTGGAATAACAATGCTGCTCTCTACTAACGTACCTCTGAATAAAAACGAGAAGTCCTGTGGCGCCTCAGGGTATGTCTAGACTACATGGCTCTGTCGCCAGAGCCATGTAGATTAGTTTACTAGACATACCCAAATGAAGCGACGATTTAAATAATCGCCGCTTCATTTAAATTAAAATGGTTGCCGCGCTGTGCCGATCAGCTGTTTGGCGGCACAGCGCTGTCGTCTGGACGCTCCGCGGTCGACATCAAAGGCATTGGTCGACCTCCCCAGTAAACTTCATCCCACTGGCGACAGAGCCACGTAGTCTAGACATACCTTCAGAGACTAGCAAAAAATAATCTTGAGCATTTGTGGGCAAAACCCAGTGGCATTAGCGTAGCTCAGAATGTGGGATTTGTGTGTTTTAGCAGCATTTTATGGAATACTCTTTAGGATGATGACTCCACCACCCACGAGGTCCTGCATTTCCCATATACGCCATTTTCCCCCTGCCTATAATGCTGGGCTTCTCAAGGACAAAAGAGGGGAGTAGAAGAAATTGTCTGACATCCTGGGATTGGCCTGAGCTACAAAGCAACTAAGAGCCTGATCCAGAACCCATTGAAGTCAATGGGGGATGTTCTAGCGACCTGAGAAGGCTTTGGGTCAGACCCTAAATTAACCCACTGGTATTTCTATCCATCCCTGTGGGAGGAACTTGGGCTCTGGCGCTGCTGCGGCTCTGAGTGTGCTGAGTGGCCACTCTGCCCCATGGAAGGGCTTTTCCTCCCCTTCGCCCCCCTGGCTCTCTGCAGCACACAGTCATGTGACTTCCAATCCGGACACTCATGTGAGGGGACACAGTCCACCAGCTTTTCAGGCTGCCCAGAGAGACATCTAGTGGAAAGTTCACACGCGGCCTGTGAGCACGACCTGATGCCGCACCAAAGAGGCTTCAGGGGAGCCACCTCCCACACACTCCACATGCGCTCTGAAACGGCGTCCAAACCCAGACTTTCGACAAAGCAAGGACTGAAACCGCACAGCACCGGGTTCGACGTGGAGCTAACCTCAATCCCTCACCAGAAAGGGCAGTATCTGCTATGCGTTACTTCAGTAGTAGGAAGGAAGTGCATAAACTCCACCAAGCTAAGGAGAAGAAGCCATCACCAATGGCATGGGACATGAAGAAAAAGGAGTGGGAGTGACTTGGAAACTAAGAAACCCACACAATCTGATTAGTGAAAGACAGGCCAGCCATTAGGGAAGTGGAAACTAGAGCGCTTGTGTAACAATCTTTGAGAGAAAGGCAAGGGATAAAAATGCCTTTATCAAGTGAGGATTTTGCTTTTTCAAATCTCCCCAATCTTTATTCATTTAGGAAAATTGAACCCACGGGCCTGGTCAGTCTTTCTACTCCAGAGCACTCTGTTTTCTCTGGGGAGCTGGGACGGGTGAACGGAAAGTGATGCATTCACTTCATTGGCATTTCCAAAGCCCCTATTTGGTGCTGCCCCATGTGCCTTCAGACCCTGGAGAACTAATCCCTCACTGTGGCCAATTAATAGAGCCCTCTGTGGATACAACATTTTGTATCTACATCTGTATCTGCAAAAATGAACCACGGATAACTGCAGCCACCTCTGTGGATGCCGGTATAACGTGGATATCTGCAGATTTGCAAGGTTCTAAATACAAAATTTGTATCCGCACCTACATCCATATCCACAAAAGTGAGCCGCAGATATTCGCATCCACAGATGCAGATCCCTGTGGGTAGAAAGTGGATATCCGTGGATTTGCAGGGCTCTACCAATGCACGCTGAGTGCAGCTGGTACAAGGGGGGATGCAAAGGAGACATTCATGGCCCCATCCCTGAGGGGTCAGCTCTGTGACGCGTTGGCTCCAACGTAGTTTACAGCAGCCCCAGGGACACCGAACGATATCAGTTTAGGCCAGCTGAGATCACTAGAACGTGGTAAGCTGCAGCAGCACCTCAGCATGCCCCCTTCACGCGGTAGGTGAAAGGGGTGTCAGGAGTGCTAGGCATAGAGCCAGAGTAGTAAAGGGGCTTAGCATTGGCTCTCATTTGCCATGTGCGAGGCAACAGATTTTAAATCGGATTCCATAAGTGAATGTGTCAATTCAGCCACTGTTGCAATTAATTCAGGTCATCGCTCGCACCTTCTGTTCAGCTCCTGAGAGCATTCGAGCTGTACAAGGAAAGGTCTGTTAACAAGCCCTGCTGATACAGTTCACCGTCAGGTCAGGATTATTAACGTGCCTTCACCTCTTACATTTGTTACACTGCATCTGGCCACATTCCCAGCCCTGCCTGGGTGTAGAACAACAAAAAGTCTCTTGTGCCCTCCTTTTCCTGCCCTGTAGGTACCTAGGGATTGGCAAACTTCAGAAAGCTTCATGGCTAAGCCAGACTCTCTCCATTTCACTTGTGGGCTTGCAGAAATAGCGCAGCGCCCAGTAGCTGAAGTCAGTTCCATCTTCATATAGAGCCAACATGAACGTGCAGGCTGCAAACCAAGCTGAAAAGACAGAGCTAGCGCTGCATTCCCAGGGCCCCTGGCTATGGTTCTGAGTGCAGCTCGGCCAAATCACAACTGGATTTGCTTTGAAAACACTCTATAGATGATGTAGCCACGCAGAGTGATGTTTTGTCACTGTGCAAGTTCACGTGGCTGGCAGCCTGCAGTAAGGAATGGAGGATGGCATTTTAAGTCTTCCCCCACCTTTTAATTTTCCAAGAGCAAATCCTGCAGATTGCAAATGCGCGAAGAGGGTGAAGGAGCCTATTCCACTAATGTCCGCCTAAGAAAGCACTGCGTAACCTTCCGGCTTACATAGAAGAGCCAGAGTAGTAAAGGGGCTTAGCATTGGCTCTCATTTGCCATGTGCGAGGCCACGGATTTTAACTTGGATTCTGTAAGTAAATGTGACAACTCAGCAACTCTTTCGGTGCTCAAGTGTCAGATACGCACGGCTATCAATGAGGCTGCAGCGTTGAGCTATACTGTTGGTGCTTCTGAAAGGCATTGCACATTTGAAGGCAATGTAATGGTGCTGGTGAGCAAAGCCCCAGGGAAAACAAGCATTAGAGCTTTGGTTTCAAGTCTAGGATCTGATTGTAAGGGTGACACCTTGAAAAGCCATCTTGGCAGAAATGTCGGAGAAAGACTCACATCTCTTTCCAGGGGATGGTTTTAGGCATGTATTGATAAGTCAGTGATGTTCTCCTTTTTCTCCCCCCATGATCCCTCCATTTAAAGGTGAAGGTAGATGAGAGCCTATCGCTGGAACATGTGACTCGAGACAGAGTCAGATTGGGTCATGGGCGCAGACCGCCTACGAGGATTCATCTGAAAGAGGTAAGAGTGCACCCCTGGGGCTGCATGCTGAAATCACACATAGGTGTATGCAATCTCCCTCTGGTCAGGGTCCCCGGCAGGCATTAGTGAGAGCAATTCCTAGCTGTGACGTCATGCTGATTACATGCGAAACACAAGCCGCTATGTGACCACTCACAGGTAGAACCAGCTCGTAACAGGAGTAAGGGAAAGCAGGTTATTAATCTGGGGGAAGGTGGACAGCAGCTATTTGAGATTAAGCCTCCTACAGATCAGTAGTTGCTGCAACATAGGCTGTGTCCAGACTCAGGGGTTTTTTCGGGAAAAGTAGCCTTTTTCCGAAAAAACTTCCCCTGCGTCCAGACTCAAGCCGCGTTCTTTCGAAATTAAATCGAAAGAACACGGCTTTTCTTTCGATGGCGGTAAACCTCATTTCACGAGGAAGAATGCCTTCTTTCGAAAGTTCCTCTTTCGAAAGAAGGCGTTCTTCAATGTAAATAGGGCTTCTTCGAAAGAGAGCATCCAGACTCACTGGATGCTTTCTTTCGAAAAAGCAAACCGCTTTTTCGAAAGTTCAACGTGCAGTCTAGACGCTCTCTTTCGAAAGAGGCTCTTTCGAAAG